TCCCATTGGAGAGCAAAGACCCCGAGGCACTGAGGAAGTGAGGCGTGCAGCGGGGTGGGGCAGGGGGGACTGGGCAGAAGAAACAGCAAGTACAGGACCCTGAGAGGTGAGGAGCCTCAGACTGCAGGGCTGAGCCATCTTCCTTTGAGTGGGATGGTTGAGAGGGAGGGACTTGATCCCACACCTAAATTGTCATGACCCTGTTCTGAGGATGAGGAGGAGCCAGGGGAGCAGTGAGGACGTGCACTCAGGACCGAGCTGGTGCCACCTGGTGCAGGTGCTGGTGGGAACGGTAAGGAACAGTCAGAGCCTGGATGTGTTTTGAAGGCAGAACTAACAATTTGGTAAAAGATTGGGGTTTTGGCACATGGGAGTTCAGGACGGTTTAGTTAGGTTTTTGGTCTGAGTAACTGGAAGAATAGAGTTATTATTTACTAACATGGAAAAGGGGCAGACTGGGGAGCAGGAAGATGGGAGTTCACTTTTGTGGAAATGGTGAGTTGGGATGCCTGGTGACAATGAGCATGGAGTCTCAGCAGGCAGGTGGAATTACAAGAGGAGCTCACAGGCTAGAGAGGAGTCCATGGACCAGGTCTGGTGGGATTTTAGTGCTTACAGGCCACAGAAATAAAGGGACATGAGGACGGGAGAATGAGAAGGTGAGACCAGGGAGGGCAGGGGAGGGCTGGAAGAGAATAGTGCATAGGAAGCTAAATAAACAAAGTATTTTAAGGCAGAAGGAGAAGTAAACTGGTAGGTTAAAAGATCAAGTCTTGACTACAGGCTTCAGCAACATGTGGTCACTGGTAACCCCACAGGAACCTGAGTGGAAAGAGTTTCAGAAAGTACAGACCAGGAGGCCCACTACTGGAGGTGTCTCCCGGGGCACAGACCCGGAGGCCCACGACTGGAGGTGCCTCCCGGGGCACAGACCAGGAGGCCCACGACTGGAGGTGCCTCCCGGGGCACAGACCAGGAGGCCCACGACTGGAGGTGCCTCCCGGGGCACAGACCAGGAGGCCCATGACTGGAGGTGTCTCCCAGAATCCATCTCTGAAAGTGTTTTGCTTTTGAGAAGGAAGGAGAGGGGTATGACGGGTCTGGCATCCAGGAAGGTTTTTATCTTTAACATGACAGCCTCTTTATCTGCTGGTGCGAATGATCTTGTAGTGTGGAAAAACATGATGAGGGGGCAGAGAGAGGACAACTGCTGAGATTGTTCTGGGAAACGTGAGAAACATAAGAAGGGCTGTTGTACACAAGTGGAGGCTTTGCTGGAGGTGAGGTGAGCGTTCACCCACAGCACCGGGAATGGGACAGTCTAGGCAGGCACATACACCAGTGGGCTCTGAACAGATGTCCACATCTGGGCCATGCTTGGATCATTGGTGACAAATAGCAGGGTTTGCTTGGGGAACTCACGACCCACAAAGCCTTTGTGTGCCTACTACTGCTCCTCAGCCACCTCAGCTGACAATTTATAGTTTCTGACTTTACAATGGAGCATGACATTATTTTAGTGAGTAGCTAATTTACATTTAAGTAATAGCTAATATTTATTGAATCTTCTGCAGAATGCTATTTAAACCTCTCACCAAATCTAAGGAATTGGAACTATTTCCAACCTCCAGTTAGCAACTGAACTGAACTGAAGAGAAAATAATTACCTTGTTCAGGGCCCTAAGTGGGCTTGACCCTCTGCTTTCTGCCACTGTGGTTCCTTGTTCCTGCTTCATGGGAGTGTGATACGTCGTACTTGGGCCCTCCTGGGGGCTGTCAGTTAACAGTTAACGTCGGTTTGCTTATGTGACTGTGATCTGAGATTAAAATGCTGTTTATCACTTGGGGCGTCTATCTCCACCCCTCTTTTCTCCCAAAGATGCAGATTTTAAGATCTTTTTATCAAAATTATTGATGCTGCTCCAAAGGACAGTCTGGCTGACGGGCTGCATGTGGGTATAACATTACTCTTGTCCTCATTCTCCTTCATAGAACTTAAACTATGACTGACAGCCAGGTGCTTTGTCTGTCCTGGCGTGGATGGGAGCACGGGACCATGGGCTTCAGAACCAAGTGATCAGAACCACAAACGTGCGCAGGCTTCTTACTTGCCGCGCGTCAGGCCTTCTGGGTCTGCTTTCCCTGCTGTGATTGTTGTGTTAGACATGGAAAATGATTTTCAATTGGAAAATGATTCATTCAGGGTTTAATTTCAGAAATGTTTCATATGTGTACAGTTTAGTAATGATTTACTATTTAGCCTTAAAGGAATAAGAACTTTATAGGAATATACTATCTTTATTTTGAGTTTTAAAATCAACATATTATCTAACAGTGGAAAATGGAACTGTCCCAGAGAATCCAAGCTGTACGGTTTACTGTAAGCACAAGGCCCTGGTATCTCTTGGGTATGGAGGAGCCTTCCTGAGTTCTTCCTGATGTTCTGTTCGCCAGTCACTTAATCCAGGCATCAGTATATTGTCTAGACTTGGGTTGTGTGAATTCCCTTCAGGGGAGATGGGGAATCCATGCATTGGAATTAAGCATTGCTTCTCCCTTCCTTTGAAACAGTAAACTGATGGTTAGAGAAAAGAATTACAACTGAGATTACTGGTGCAGCCAGACTCTGGTGGGCCTGGAGTAGTGTGTTGTTTTAGGCCAGTCTGCATAGCAGCATAGACAACAAAGCAGAGGCTCCCTGGTCACATATAAATAAATCCAACGGACAGCAGACCCTGACATGTGCAGTCTTGTATTAAACAATAGTGGTTGAATGGGTCATTCTGGTCTTCAAGGAGTGTATAGTTATTGTTAATTTAAAGCCTTTGTTGGACCACATCCAAAGGCTTGATGCATCTCTTACTGGGCAAAGTTTCTCCTCCATCGTTGCTCCCTCGACCTTCAGGTTCATTCCTTAAATTTCAAGTTTTTTTCTCTAAACCAGAATTTATGAAAGTATCCCCATGGATGTGGTTGTCAGGGAGACCAGGTCTCTGCCTTGGTGCTTACGCTGGTGCTGGACGTGGACTGCGCTGCCCTGCTGTCCGCACTTTGTCCCTTACGTTATGGTCCTCACTCCTTCACTGCCCGGGAAGTACTTACCAGAGACGGCTTAGGAGTGCATTTAGTAAAGAGGAATATTTTGTTTCCTCACACTGGTCATTATGACTTAAGTGGCATAACGATAACAAAGCCAGTGGTACTTCGCAAGTTGCTTAAAAGCAGGAACAATAATGAAAATGTAATGATTCTGCAAGGATATTTTACGAGCCTAGGTTATAGGTTTACTTATAGATCTCATGCTCTGAAGACTTTATTGGATGACAAAACTTGCGGTTTCTCTGGGTGTGCGGCACCTGTGACTCAGAATTTTTTCAGGGCACTGTAACACGACAGGACTGGTCCCAGGCTAGAGTTATGAAAGGAGGGGATTTAGTTCCTGCTCTCAGAGTCCCCTTAGTTCTCAGAGTCCCCTTTCTGTGCTTTCTCTTCTTCCTTGCTGTCCTCATCATTTTCTTCTCTAATGTCCTGTGGTCCTAACACAGTGTTGATGGGTCATGAGTTACCTGTGTTTTCACCCCCAGTCATTGCTGACTGATCGCAAGCTAACTCATGTTGGCCCTGCCTTAGCTACTGCAATTTTTATAATGGGGTAATGTTGGATTTTGTAAAAGCTTTCTTGATCATGTCACTGGGATAATAGCTGGTGACATGGGATAGCATTTGCATAAAATTGCCAGTCAACAGTGTGTTAAAATCATTTCTACTAAGGGCTCTGTGCCTATGGTACAGTGGCTATGGCGCCAACCACATACACCGAAGCTGGCGGGTTCGAGCCTGGCCCAAGCCTGCTAAACAACAATGACAACTGCAACCAAAAAATAGATGGGTGTTGTGGCAGGTGCCTGTAGTCCCAGCTATTGGGTGGCTGAGGCAAGAGAATCGCTTAAGCCCAGGAGTCTGAGATTGCTGTGAGCTGTGACACTATGGCACTCTACCCAGGGTGACATAGTGAGACTCTGTCTCAACGAAAAAAAAAAAATCATTTCTGTTAAGGACAAATCGTTAATTTAATGTGTTATTTTTTACAAGGGTTTTTGCATTTTAAGAGACACAATGCTTGCATTTGGATAAGCCAGGGAAACTAAGTTCTAATTGTGAGATTCTGTTTAACATGTAAGTGGTCAACCCTGCTGTAAGGCGGGCTCCACACACGTTAGACTCAGCTGGGTGTCTGTCCTGTGTATGGACTAAGGTGCCGAGGGAGAGTCCGTTCCTAACCAGCCCCTAAATATTCATTTCTAGATTATTGTTCCTTTCTTTTTACCAATTCTTCTCCTTTTCTGACAATGGGGATTTATGGAGCATGGCATAGCAGAACAAGTGTGTGAGCTGTGGAAAAGGTTTGGATTTGCATCTGAATGTCACAGTTTTTCAACTTTGGACATGTATTGCCCTGTCCCCACCCCCCAGTCTCAGTTTCCTCACCTGTAAAGTGTGGTTCTTAGGGTTGCCATGACGGAAAAATGTATGTAAGCCACAGCACTTAAATTACTGGCTCAGGTAGACGAAACAAAAGGTATACACTGCAATTAGTCTAAATTCTAGGATTTCTACAGGAAAAAATTAAAACAATCAGAAAAAATTTTTTTCTATATAACAGCTACTTTCTTAAAAGTTTGTAATTGATGTCAGTTATACCCATAATGAATTAATTGAGGGTAAGTTGTAATTTTAAGCAAGCCAGATACAGTTTATGGAAACCTGTTATGTTTATTTTCTCAAATATAATGTGTGAATGAGAGATAAGTATTCACAATGTAATAATTTCATTAAAAATGATTTATTGAACCCGAGATGGTGCAGGAATACACTCATTGTGCAGACTGAGGTTTCTGTGGCGTGGCCTTGTGAGGGCCCATCATGCTGCTTATGTCCTCTGTGTGTTCTTGTTGCATGAAGCTCATCGAGTTCTACAATTGTGTTTTTCACCCCTATAGATTTACCAATAAAGAGTCAGCAAGAGTATGAGCTGGTGACTCCAGTCAGCACAGATCTGGAAGGACACTATCTCTCCCATATTCTTTCTGCAAATCACAAAAAGAGGTCAGCGAGGGATGTTTCTTCCAACGCTGAGCAGTTGTTCTTTAACATCACTGCGTTTGGAAGGGGTTTTCATCTGCGTCTAAAGCCCAACACTCAGCTGGTGGCTCCTGGGGCTGTTGTGGAATGGCACGAAACATCTCCAGAGCCTGGGAAAGCGACTGACCCCACTGATGGCCGTCAACCAGGAACAGCTTCAGAAAGAATCTGGAAAAGAGAGCCTTTGCAGACCAACTGTGCTTATGTTGGTGACATCATGGACGTTCCAGGAACCTCTGTTGCCATTAGCAACTGTGATGGTCTGGTAAGGCTCATTCCTGTCCACGTGTGTGTGTTCACAGGTGTTGAGAGCGCAGGGTGGTTTCAGCATGGTTTGGAAGGTAGATGTGGAAAGGAAGCCTCATTGTTATATTTTAAGTTCAGGAAAAAGCATTAGAAATCATTTTACTGTCAAAGCTGTGTGCTTTGGCTTAATTTGTGACATGAAGACGACATTTTTCCAAGAAACAAAAGACGACTATTTTAGCATGTTTTGTTTATGTTTTTACTTGTGTTACACTAGAGGATTTCATTTTCTTATTTCTTTCACAGCTTTCCGAAAACTTTCTAAAGAAACATAGATTCCTCTAAAATAAGTGGAAACTTTGAATATCGTCATAAAGAACGTCTTTTGGGTTTCCTTACAGCATGTGAAAGTGGGAAATTAGCAGGTCCTCTGGCAGGATTTGCCCGAGGAGCAAAAGGCTTCATTAGCATGCGCTGTGGTTCTGTCTGCCGGTGGCTCGGATTCTTATTTCCAAATAAAACACCCATATGTTGACTTTCAAGGTCATGGTTGAGGGCAACAGTAACTGACCCTTCTTTACACACTCTGTAGATATGAAGTCTTTTTATTTGTTGAGTAGTTCTGGTTGTGAACTGAAAGTTGGGTAATGCTCATGCCTCCTCCACACGCAGTTGAGTCTAACACTTTGTTCAAAAAGAGCGACCATTTTTCCCCCTGTGGTTATCAGGCTTCTGTTTCTTGGGAGTTTGAAGCTGTTACTTTGGTTTGTCACTGCCCCTCCGAAAACGTCCTTCACATTCCTGGTTATGATCCTTCTCCTTTGGCTGGCCCTCCTGCCGTGCCGCCAGCATTCTGTTCCTGTCCCCTTTACGAGCATGCCCAGCCCGGTGCAGTTATGACACTGTGCGTCTTACCAATGCTGGTGATTCATGCTGCCAGAGGTATTTTATAGTCTTGTACTGACTCCTGACATTCTGTAGGGCTTTGAAAACCAGCCCAGAAACCTGCACAGGCCACAGAGGCAGGTCTGACTCTCCAGCCTGAGCCCCACTGGCTTATGTTTTGCAGCCCACATTCGGTTTGAAGATGTGCAGAGTCCCTGAAATTCTTCTCATTCTGTGTGAAAGATTGACTGGCCTGTGAGCCATTGAATTAAAAAAAATTGCTTTCTAGAAAACTAAAGTTTAGATTTAAGTATTGACTGGGAGAGCTTTGATTCAATACTGAGATATATTAGAAAAGGAAATAAATTACATAAAAGATACATTTTTGATAACACTTTTGAATAAAATGTATTAAGTATAAATATTAATTCAGTGTTATTTATCTGCTCAGTTAAGATTTGAAATTTGGGCTTTTAAAATCCCTTTTGAGAAGGAAAAAGGCAAAGACATCATTTTAATGGAGTATTACAGTGACTTTTAAACCTGACTTAATAATCAGTGTTTTTACTAACTGTACATGTTGACTTATCTAACCACAGATGCAGAACTCTGGGGGCAGCAACAACTAGATATAAAGTGTGAATAACATTAATTATCAGTATTGTTTAATTTCTCATTCAGATGTGGTGTTAACTGTTGCCACCACGTATATGTCAGTGTAATATACGTGTGTGTGAAACTTGCACCTTACTCATTAGCTCTGTTCTTTGATCCATTAATTAATTAATCTAAAAATATTTGTAGGAAGCTGATTATGAGCCAAGCACTATTCCAGGTACTGTGAAATAGTGCAAGAAATAATCTGGTTACATCCTCATGGAGCTCAAATATGAGTGTGCCATAGGATTCAAGTCTCCAAAGTCTCTGGCAAATATTAAAAAAATATGTAACATGTATATAAATATTTACATATGATTACATTTATGAAATACATATGTTTTGTATATATTTCGAATATGTGTATGAATTATTTACCTTAAATTGTGGTTAGTGTGAAGTATATTCTGGAAAGATTTTATGAATGGGACAGTCTCTAAGCAAAGAGAAGTGGCCTGCGCCTCAGTTTGATGTAGGAACAGGGGGCTCTTCAGGTAGTACCGAGCGTGTGGACGTGCACTGATGGGCGTCTGCTCAGAGTTTGCAGCTCACAGCAGCTTTGTGCCAGGAGGAGGAAAGCTGATGGTGGCAGAAGCAAAAACAGGGTCACGGGGAGATCAGAAATCTCAGGGCCAGCACAGTGGTTGTTTCAATGAGTTGCAGAGGAATTTTTAAAATTGGACAAGACAGGATCAACCCTTAGCAGAGATGAATTGGGAAATATGGTTGATGAGAATGTAAACTAATTTGGCTGCACAGGTGATGCCTGAATCCATTTTTTCCTTTTAACTACCTATTTAGGCACTTAAACTTGGCCTTCTTGACCATAGGGAGGCAAGCAGGGATACTGAGATCATACAGATACCTGAGGATTATCCTGATGGGGTATAAAACCATTGTTCTGGAGGCTCTGAGATTATAATCAAATCCAACTGGTCCTAGTAGAAAATATAGCCACTTCTGGCCCAAACATACCAATGGGAAACTCTCTGCCCAGTAAGTACATGGTTAAGTCTCTTGATATGGAGGAGAGACCAGGGAAGCCCTGCCTGCATGGGAGATTCCTTCCAATTGGGTTAATTTTGGATTCAGTATAGAAGGGGTTACAGTGATCTGATTTTATGCAGGTGTTCTCTGAGGCTGTCACACAGAGGGAGGGGCTGGCCTCAGGTAATTACTCTGCAGTGAGTAGGAGGGTTCATAGTCAGACGCCTTCCAGGAGTCAAATTTCCTACCTCTTGTTCTCCTCTGGTGCCTTGTCAGGTGTGGTGTGAATTTGAAATGGGAAGTAGACCAGATAGATGAATTTATTATTTAACAGAATGTTTTTTAATTTAACTTAAAAATAAAAGCAACATAAAAAGCATCCTATACAAACTCAGGTTTGTGACAAGATAAATATAGTGAGATGAAGTGTTTAGAAACTTCTGCAGCAATTTGACAGTTACTATATGTGTACTGGCCCTAATAATAATAATTATTATTATTATACTACTAATAATATTATACTAAACAGTTGTCTTTTTTGTTCATTTTATTATTCTAGTAATGACATTTCATTGTATTGTATTTTTTATTGAATTGTATTTATTTTATTTTATTTGAATTGTATTTATTTTATATGTACAAAAATATCTGTCTGAAGCTGGTTAGGGAAGATAGAAACTACCTACTCCTTGCTACAGACAGTTTGAGAAACAACAGTCCCAGTTGGCTGGTTTTGTCCATTCTGGATGTCAGAAATGTGCCTGGAGTCATCAGGTAGAGTCTCCCTGTCCTGGGTCACGGTACAAAATGATCACAGGAAAGGCACTTTAACACAAGTTTTCTTGAGCAGGACAGGGAAATTCCTCAGTGACAGATGCAGAGCTGTGGTCTGGGAAGTGATCTGAATACGATAGTACTCAGTCGGTTTCTGGGTTTCTGAAATCAACAAGATCTTCTGCACAAAGGGACTGACCGAGGTTCTTACCCAGTGTGACCAAGAACGATGCCTATGTCTGCCCCACATTGACCTTTCCTGTTCTTCGTCAAGATTATCACTTCTTTACCAATTACAGCTTCTCTCTTGTTCTAGTCTGCCCTACTTACAGGGAAGAATTATCGTGATAATCATAGAATTGTCCCCACTTTCTGACAGCATCCAGTCTAGAACAATGTTCCACTTCTTTAGATTCTCCTCAAAATTACCCAACCAAATTAATGGTCGTTGTTCTTTTCCACACTCCCTTACTGAGATGCTCGAGATCCTCCCTGCTGTACGTTCTTCCCCTGCAATGTGTGCTAAGCCCAGGTTGTCAGCTGAAAGTGTGCTCCAGGGGGTCTTTGGCTAGAGAGCATTGACCCATGTCCCCCCTGTGCTGCTTCACCTCTGGGCGTCATGGCAGTGGCAGGCATTTCACACACTTCTCGGTGGGAAGACACTTCTGGCCCAGAATCCCAGATGGAAATAGATTTCTTCCACAGAGTCCTGGCATCTGCTCAGTAACACCATAAAATCTCCCCTGTGAGTAGTGGCAGCTCACAATCATATTTTGTGGTCTACAGACTTGCCAAAATAAAGGGTTGTTTGGTCAGTAGGCTTTATGTCATGTGTTTCATAATAAGGAACTAGATTTTTCTAGACTTTCTAGAAGAATATTGCCTTGCCAATTTCCCTGGGTTGTCATCAGAAGAAGCCTGGTAGAAATGAAAGCGCCAACTGGTTTGCAGCTCTCCTAAGTTGATCTCCTAGCAGGCTGATTTTATGATAAGATCAAGGGGGTCTCTTCAAAAATATCTCATAAGTTGCATCTGGCTAATATCAGAGACATTTTATTCTTGTTAGATTTGGGGGAAGACTGGATGAGTGATGTCTTTGTGGGCATCTGCAACCCGTAACAGAAACAGCCCTGGGTCCCGGCCTTACGACTGTGCTTTGGGATTTGGTCCCTTCAAAAATACTTTCTGCTATGTCCATTTTAGTAAGTCTAGCCACAGAGACACTTTTCAAAAAGCCTATTTTAAAAAGTATTATGAGGCAGCGTGCCTGTGATTGGGAACATTTGACCTGTGATTATGAGCTGTGATACAGCTTGATCTGGTAAACAAAAATGATTGATCCTGAAAATAGGTACAAGTTTGTAGCTTTTCACAGTAAATTTAGAAAAGAAGGTTTCTGAGGGCTGGTTTTAACACATGGGCATTTACATATTTGCTTTTATGAGAAGACCTGTCACCTCCTACTCCTTCCTCCATGGAAGACATCCATGGAAGGTGTCCTATGTTTTATTGGTGGGACAGAGGTGACATCTGAGCCTTCATGGTCTACATGTTAATTTAAGGGACTTTAGGAGATCTGGCAAACAGCAGGTGAAACTCTGTGTACCTATACCAGACTGTTTCAGCAGTGCAGGATTAGAAGCAGCTCAAGGTCACTATGCTCTTTAGCTCTCAGAGGTAGGATAAAAATGCAGGTATCAGCCACTTTCAAGATGA